ACCCACCCACCCCACACACATACAATTCACACACACACACACACACACACACAAACACAGACTCACGAACACACGCACGCACGCACACACACACACACACAAACACAGACTCACGAACTCACGCACACACACACACACAAACACACAACAAACACAGACTCACGAACACACACACACACAGACTGACGCACACACGGACACACACACGCACACACACGCACGCACACACACACACACACAGAAACACACAAGCACACACAACACACACACACGCACACACAGAAAAACACACACACACGCACACACCTCTTTATCAATGCCAGCATGCATTGGGTCGAAATTAAATGACCATTACAATGGACATGTTTGTTTTAGCCTGTAAAGGTCCATGAATAGTCAATATTAGATGTGCAACCCTTTCCTCAGATTCTGTGTTTATGGTGACATGAAACCTAGTGTTTCATTTGGTTATAGGAACAGGGCAGGGAAGTTTTATAGACCTCCGGTGTGTGAGTGTGTGTGTGTGTGTGTGTGTGTGTGTGTGTGTGTGTGTGTGTGTGGCTCGGGGTTAGCCTTTGCTAGAATCTGACAGATGTGTCTAATGCCCTGGGTACCAAAAATTAAACACATAGAAAGTTGTCATAAAAGTTCAAACAAAACTTTAAACACGACATAGAAAGTCGATAAATAGAACTTATAAGAATAACATTTTGTAATTTAGGCTGCAGAAAACCTGAGGGAAATCCTGGCTTTACACAATTCAAAACGAGAACGTCTGGCAAGATTTTGCCACAGCATTGCTGCCTTCCTACCCAATTTGGACAAGAGTACGAAGGACAACCTGAAGACACAGTTCGATCGTGCAGCAGAAGACATCCTAAGAGACGTGCAGACACAGCTACACAAAGAAGAGTGTCCAATACTTTTAGCAGGTTAGTGTAATGTCATTGACTGCAGAATACTTATCACATTAGGTGCACTGTGTTGACATTTTGCTACTTTTGTGGTGACCAATAATATCACTATTTACCTATTTTCAATGATCTCGTATTCTGTTTTCCCCGTCTTCTTTGGGTACACCGAAAAATAGGCGTCCCCTTTCATTTTAGGATCTACATTTTGTATAATGGCATGATTTATTTGAGGTTTACATGATGTTACGAGAGGTACTTTGGTTGATATCCCAGACTTGTCAGAAAATAAAGACTTTTCAGTAATACTTTACAACATGAAATTGACATTATCTTTTAAATTTACAGGTACAGGTATAGTTACAGATATTTTTATCCAAAGAGCCTAAGTACAGAATAATTACACAATAACTGTCATGACCAAAATTATTTTCTCAGAACTAGGCATTTTTCTGCATTATTTATTGTTCATACTAAGTTACGACATTCACCAAGCATGCATGATTGATACAAAATCATGCTTGAAACTCTTCTTCAGGAGAAACATCCTCAGGAAAAACCACCTTCCTGAACCTGCTGCTTGGTGATGACATCCTTCCCGTAGACCTCCTTAGTAGCACTTCCACCATCTGTGAGGTGAAGTATGGGGAAACTCGGCAGGCGGTGGTTCATCTGCGACAGTCAGGGTATAGGACACCGAAGCCGAGAGTCACCATTCCACTGGATGGCACAGCGGAGCATCGGGAGGAGCTAGACAGCTACATACGTCTTGAAGGAGCCAGCCGAGACAGCCTTCCTCAAGCTGAGCGGGTCGAGATCTTTTGGCCTCTTCCTCTTCTTCAAGTAAGGACTGTTTTTAGATAACCTCAGAACTTGATTTGGAGAGCCGTGAATGATCTCTTTAGGTTGATAAATGATTGAATAGCAAAGTTATTTATTCACAACCACTTTCTTTTTTTAACACAAGCCGATGTTTTGATGACCATTTATCATCTTCATCGGGGTAATAAATATGATTGATTTACTGTGCACTGAAGCTAGGTGTTACTGGTTCACTTGAAATCACCCGGACAGAGCCCTGGCAAGCCCTGTCAAGGTTATGTATTGAGTGCATTAACAATATGTTTGTAATGCATCCCTCAAAACTGACGTGATATTCAGGGTGGATTTTAATAATTGTCAGGTATAGATTGACGAACATCTATACCTTTGACGTCCAGGTAAGAGGAGACACCACAAAAACAGTTACTCAAGAAACTGGATATGATTCTTGGAAACGGTCAGACGTTTCAAGTAGAATCCAATGGGAAACAAAAGTTACACAAAGCTAGGTTGCGGTAAATAAGTAAGCTCCCGTTGTTTCAAAACAGGAGCTTAAGAGTTGTCTATCCTTGACAAAAGTAACAAGTGAGTAAAATTTGAGAGATATATCAAAGCATGAAAGGAAAGACTACAACTACGTACTGTTACAGTAACAAAAATTGTCATTGTTTTGATTAGTGTTTAGTGTTAAATTATGTACATATTCATTTCACCTTCTTGTAACTGTAAAATGTGTCAAAATATTTCAAAGTAATGATTAAAAATAAATTTCTACTTTCAGGGTGGAATAGTCATAGTGGACAGTCCCGGTGTTGGAGAAAGCAAGATCATGGACCAAGTTGTTGCTGACCACATCTCCGAGTCCTTTGCCTTCCTGTACATCGTTGATAGTTCCAGGGCAGGGGGGGTACAAGAGGACAGGGTAGGTGTTTTTTACCATTCTCAGTAAAACAGTTCTAAGTCTGAGGCCCCGTTCATGATTCAAATGTGCCGCGGTTTGATTCCATTTGGCCACAAACTAACATGAAACGAATTACATGTTGAGTCCACGATTCAAAAGTTGAACAAAATATGTACTTTTCAATCAAAATCTGCCATGAAAATGTCTTATATATGCATGTCCATTGACACCCTTTCTTACATAATTACACTGTTGACACATATTAAAAAAATTTCCAGATGTTCCTGTAACTAAGTGCTGCAGCTGACTGATACTAAGACTAGTTGGAGTTTGGATACAGCCCAAATGTTAGATGCTTTTGACTGATTTATTTATACTGTTGTCCATCACCACTTTGAATGTCCTTACTCTTCTCAGGGTCTTCTTGAATATGCACGTACACGTTTATCATGTGTGAAATGCGTTTTTTGTCATCTACACTTTGTAGTTGGGAAAACTTCTACAGCTGTTTGCAAACAAGGACAACTCTGATGATTTCAACCCAGAATCGGCTATGTTCATCTGCAACAAGTGGGACCTTGTGCTTGCTGAGGTGCCACCTGAGAAGCAAGACAACGTGAAGAGTGAAACATTTCGGAAGCTGTCACAGATGTGGCCTGGCCTGAAGGAGTCTCAGGTGTTTCATGTGTCATCAAAGAAGGTAAGCATTACAGGTTCACACAACTTTCTCAAATTGGTACCTAGCCTGCACCTAGCTCACTTTCACATACGTGTACATCATTCTGGTGGCATATATAAATTTTGTGCATAATTTGATATTTCACTTTTTGTGTTTTTACGAAATCAAGAAACTAGAGTCCGGCGAGCTCATACCTCCAGAAAGCATTTAGAGCTTTTGTTAATTTTATGCAAATGACTTGTACATTTACATTTAATGAAATTGAAATGAAATTCTCACCATCTACCAATATGGAGTCGTGGCCTTTTTCAAGTAGGCCCTTATCTGCATGTTTGCTTAAAACCCTATAATTATAGACAGTAAATTCTGTTGTAATTCGTCACTAATTGTGCAGATTCATTATCTTGATGACAGACTGTTTTTCATGGAAGCAGTAATTATAAGAGCCTTAACTTTAGATCCTGCAGTTGGGCTGTAGTGCAAAATGATAGGAAATAAGAGAAAAGTGAATCATGACATTACTTTATTGTTACTACACAATACAGGCAGTAGGACCATTTGGAATCCTCTCTGAAGACTTCATCAAAGTGCTGGATGGTCTGGACTTGCTGCTGCCAAAGAGTTTGGACATCAAACTGGACACTCAGTATAGGTGGGAAAAAATATATGACAGTCACATTGTAAGGTTGCAGAAATATAGGTCGCATTTATATATAAACGTGTATGTGTGTGTGTGTGTGTGTGCATTGTTCATATGTATATACGTATGACCACACCAGCACCTGTATACTACTATTGCAGTGTCACTATACTGCCTGGTTGGCGTTCTAAACATCAAGTTATCAACGCTAAGTAACCTCATGAATGTGGCGTAAATGGTGGCGTAATCGGCTCAGACCCAAGAGGTCACGGGTTTTAAAAAAAGTAGGGGACCTTCCCGGTGTGAGTGGTTCAAACCTTACAGTCCGGCCTTACGTAGCTTATACTTACATGTAAAAAACTGGTGTGTTACGCCATAAGGCGATTTACCGGTTATATGGAACAAACAAATCGCAGCTCACGGCTCAGAAAATAACTTTATGAGCTACCGGTTATATATCTACGAAGTGAGAAAGATCCCATTACCAGGGGTGCCAAAGAATTCATACGACTTTTACGGAATTAATACGAATACACACGATCCATTACTAGGAAACATACGTATCTTACGGAACACATACGATCCATTACGCGGAAACATACGATCCTTACTAATTTAGTGACTACGTAGCGCCACGATCACCGCGTTCCACCGATTCTCAGTATCGCCCTGCCTTTTGGTCTAAAATACAGTCTAATATGTCGTATAAAAGTAGCCCGTATAAATGCGGCTGGAGTTTCTGGTGTTTAGCAGCGTGGGATAAGCCCTTGAAGGCTCATGTGTTTGAGCACATGACTGCACGCAACAACTTCTGTCAAATTTGGCAACGCGACAGGAAAATTGTTGTCCATTGTAGCAAAAAATACCCATGGAGATAAGCCTGTGCGGCTCTTTTTCTCTGGTGGGGGTTTTCGTGTTCCAAAACCACTAAATAGGCAGAAATTTTCCCACATAAACGGACAGGATAGTTCCTCTATGTACAGTAACAGTTTACAATCAAAAGAGACCTAGATTTATGTTACATTGACCAATCATATCAGATTTGTATTAGCCTATGGATGACAATCAAATAACACTATGTTTCAGGTTACTGGCTCGAATTTTGAGTGCAGCTCTGATCCAAATCGACACCAAGCTAAATGTTGCTCATCAAAACTTGGACAGGGACACTAAAAAGAAAATGTTCAAAGAAGCACAGGAACACCTCAATTCATTTCAAGAGGAAACAAACACGAGAACAAAGGAATTGAAAAGTATAATGAGCAACAAGATGGAGTCCACAAAGGATACCCTGTCTAGCCTTGTAAAGAGTAGGGAACTGAAGAAGGATGCGCTTAATGCAGTAGGGATCTCCTTTATGAGGCCATTACAGTTTAAATCCTGGTACAGCAATGTTTTGTCCATGCGGAAGAACGAGAAGAAAGAATCGAATGATGCTAATTTTTCAATACTCAAAGAGCTCTATGAAGCGTTGGCAGATGACTTGACTGACTGTCCTTCTTTTAAACACCATAAAACTTCCATGGAAAGTGTCTTTAAACAGAAAATGAAAGAGGTAGTTAAGTCACTTGAGTCTGCACATCAGGAAACAATGTATGTCTGCAGTAGTCATACAAAAGCCTCAATGAATGTCCGCAATGTCCTGTTTCAAAAGCCATCCCTTTGGGAGCAATATGTTGCATTTTGGAAAGGTGTATCACTGTCATCATTGAGCAGTATGTTATCAAGGTGGGGAAAGAGAACTGTAATGGCAGTTTGGGGGCCCACACGTCCAAAGAGGGAATCCATTCTCCGCCGCTATTGGGTACGAACACCTGATCGCAAACCCCTTATAGACATCCTGATCTCAGCACTGTCATCATCCGATGAACTTCTCACTGACCTGGCTGAAAGGCAGATGCAGCCACAACGTGAATTGATGGCTCTACTGGAAGCTGACATCACAAAGATGAGAATCATTATGGTGCGGACAATAGAGGAGACCTTCAAAGATACCAGAAGTAATGATGAAATCGTGGAAACATATGAACCACAAAGTAGGGAAGTCTACAGCTTCATGGGGCAGCTGGCAATGTTCCACCTGACCGAGATGAGAAAGTACGAGTATGATCTGGACAGCATCCCAGGTTGGACAGACACAGGGAACAGGATAGGAGGGGGGTCCTTTGGTGAAGTTTTCCGAGTCCAAGTCCCATGGAAGGGAGCAGAGACTCCTGCAGCATTGAAGCTTGGAGTCTTGCCATATGCTGTCATAAAAGCACAAACTGCCTGGGACTTCCTGAAGGAAGAAGACAACTTGAGGTAAGGCTGCTAAGAGTGACTCTTATTATCCTGATCTTAGTAAGGCTAACATATTAAGGTTATGTGAGAAAACTCACAATTAAGTACACCTCTGAGTCAGCTTCATCCAGAATCCAATAAACTCAGGCAGGGATGAAAGACATTTAATTTAATGTAAGGAAACAGACTTGATAAAAGCTCCTTGAACTGACTGATTCCAAGTATACTTGTAGGTGACCATGTCAACAAGGTTCATTTTCTCTCCAATCGACCAGGGTGTCAATTATTTTTTGAGGGGGAGGAATTTTACTTAACTGCCATCATGCCTTTTTCTCTTCTTCTGGAAACGTGAAAAAGCCTTCAAATAAAAGCCTTCTTATCACTGTCAATAAACCATTCTACCGCCAGGAAGCTGAAGGGAGACCACATTGTGGAATACTACGGCACTGCCTGGAGGAGGGAGGGACGCAGTCTGAGGCTGGGACTGGTTATGGAGCTGTGTGACGGCACACTGGAGGATAGGATTGCCAACAGGTGAGGGTATGATACAAGGTATTGAATCAGATTGAATTTAATGTTCCAAGTTGACTGTCAAGTAAAGTATTGATGCAAGATGGTGAAAAAGCAGCGAAGTAAAGGACTGGTATGATCACACCTTTCCATTTGACACTCATTCAAAATTATATCAGTTGATCACATTCTCAACTCAATCACAGTCAAATCTTAACAAAGGCTATTCTAGCAACTCCTCACTCATAAACCATGCAAATGAGGTCCTGATTTGAATTTCAATTGACTTCCAAATGCTGCGACTATATAATTCAAAGCCGCTACCACTATACATGTAGCATTTTATAGCATTTTACTATAGCTATATAGATATAGCATTTTCTCATCAATTATGCAAATCAGGTCTTTTGTTTTACTAAATTATGTTTACTGAAGGAAAACATATTGTTTTTGCTGTTTCTTCTTCCGTTCCAAAGAATGACCTGTCACCTGGTCAATGACCTGAACCATGGTAACTGGTGTTGGGTTACATGTACATAATGTTGCAATTTTATGGTAGGAGGGATTTAGACTCCTCTCACCATATATGCGAAGGTAAACATTATGTTACCTTTCTAGTTAATAACTGCATTTATAGACTTTCCTAATTGATCATGCAAATAAGATGCTGATTTACATAATGTTCATCTAATTGTGACATGTCAAGCATCTCTTAAACTAGCTACACACTTAACATCACAATGATCTGTCAACCGGTTCTTGGTGTATCCTCCTCCAAAGGTTTTCTAATAAATACCACTGCAGTTCCAAAACAAGCTGCTATAGGATCCCAAACTCATGTTGCTTTTTCGTCAGAGCTATCTACCATGCAAAATTCGTGCTCCTCATTATATTATTAGAAGCATGTCCAGATCACGACATATTGAAACTAGACGTTACGCTGCAGTATCATCGCAAGCCGTTTAGGGGCCAAAATCTAACCATTTTGAGGTTTCATCAAGAGCTACCCACATACTTAATATCAAGCCAATTCACTAAAAAAAAGGCAGTCCAAAGTTAGGTCACACACACACACACACACACACACACACACACACACACTCACACACACTCACACACACATGTACATGTATACATACCCTAAAACATAACGGTTACCTTCTTGGCAAAGGTAATTATGATGCTGGGAAAAGTTCGGATTCAGAAATGGAATCTTGTTGACACTGAAAGCAAAATTATGATAACTATCTAATCAGCTGGACTGGAGTGAGAAATTTCACAGCCTTGAAGAGGAATTTGTTACCCAAACCAATAGGTGTAATAAAATATATCTATTGAATACTATTCACAGCATCTATGATCCTTTATATGCTGCAGGGAACATAACCCAGCCTGGTGGGGCTCTAACCCAGAGAAGCAGGCAGCAGCCTTCAGCTACACCCAGAACCTGGCAGTGCAGCTGTGTGAGGGACTCAAGACCATCCATGATGCAGGCTACATCCACAGGGACCTCAAACCTATCAATATTTTGGTACATTGTACATTATATTTCTTGTAATCTCACCATATGGTCAGAGCAAGTTTCCATTGTCTTTGCCATCAACTCATTATGTTAAAGTTCAACAAATCCTTAGTGGGAGGGGTTAGGATTTTTTACTTTCAATTTTTCAACAGTTGACAACCATTATTAACTGCCAACACTAATTGCCAACACTAAAATATCTATGTTTTAATTTTCAAGCGGAATGGTCCAGTTACACAATTGTTCTTGTCAGCTACAGCACACATACAATGAAGTACTCCCCACTGTGACTTTTCCAGCTACTTGAATATTGAATTGACTAGAACTAGAAAAACTCAAACAACCCAGACTGTCCAGCCACCAGAAACAAAGGCAGGGAAAGATTAGCATAATACTGGTCGATCTATTGAACAGATTCAAATATTTTTCTATTTTGGTTTTCAAGGAAACAACATCAAACCATGCAGAATCCAGATAATTGTAACTAAGTCACATAATCAAGATAATACTATGTGCAACTTCAGTTTCTGCAAAACCAACCTTATGTTCTAATTTTAACTTTCTAAACAGCCCTGTCTGTCAAAAGTGTCTAATTGTAGATATTTGTGTTTGTAACTTGAAAATATGTCAGATGATGATGATGAACTTGAAAATATCTTCCTCACAGCAGAATTAGCTTTGATAGTAGTCTACAAATACAAGACTGTATGTCTTGTAATTGTGGTGTTCATTTGACAGTCTAAGAAAACAATTTAAGTCATGTAGACTGGAGCTCTGTTAGAACTGTACAAATGATTGTAAGCCCATGTCTGACACTATAGCTACCAGACAGAGATTGGCAAGCCAGTGTTCATTTCTGGATAGGTGAGACTAACTTCTTACAATTTTATTTCAATTCCTTGGTCTTGGTCACTGTCTTAGCCAGGCCTCTGCATATGTTACTCCTACCGTATTCAGAGCTAGACTGAGGTCAGGTACATGTAGTAATTACGTTAGCTGAATTCATTGGGTAACTTTGTAGTAAAAGCATTGTGTTTAAAAGCCTTTAGAAGAAAAAATGATAAGCTTTCATATCTGCATCTTATGTCACCATGCAGGTAATTTGAACAGTGTCATGTACATCTAAACGATGAAGATTTGTTTTCATGCACAAAGGTGACCAAGGACAACACCGTGAAGCTTGCCGATGTTGGAGTGACTAAGCGAGAGGATAAAATCACTGGTACAATGATCGGAACTGCCATCTACGCGGCACCAGAAGTGAAGGAGTGGAAGGTTTACGACAAGAGTGCAGACATCTACAGCCTGGGCCTCATCCTGTGGGAGATGTGGTACGGAAGAACACTGTTTGACAAGGTGAGTCATTGGTGGTACATGTACCTGCAACTGAATGTTTGCATCAAAGGAACATCTGACGCTTCTTTGAAAAACATGTCAGTGACTGTAGAAATAAACCGATGCTTATGGGTTCTAATGTTAATGCACAACCTTGTTGCTAGCTTTCAACATAAAAATTAATTATCATTGATGGTCAAGTTTTCCTAAATTTCACTGTCTATTTTGGAGCATTTTCCTGGTGTACAGTTGGAAATCAATTTTGAAATCGAGAGCTATCAATAGCACATGTGCCTGTAATGATAATGTTTGGAGCTCCCTGGTGTACTTTCAGGCAGTGTACACCATGGTAATCTATAATGCCACTGAGTGTTTAGTATATAAATCAATTCTGTAACAGATATAAAAATTATTGATTTTTCTTTGTTAGGCTGATACCTACTATAAAAGGATGAGCGCAGACCTGAAAAGGGGACAGAATATGAGGATGCCACAATGGCCAGGAACTGTCCCACCCATCCCCGTCTGGACCAGTCTGATCCATGACTGTCTCAAGAAAAATCCAAGGGAACGACCAAAGATACAGCAGTGTCTGGACAGGATCTCAGCTATGAAGGTTGAGTAGAAAAAGGCTTAGGGCACGAGATCTAGACGTATTTAAATCTCCAAGCAGGTGCTGAGAAGGAAGATCATGATACTGTTTTTAACTGACTCATTTGTTCGCAAAATATTAACATCTCAGCAAGCTTAAAAACAGAAAATGTAATAATCACTTACTAATAGGTTCTTCCGACATCTGCTTTGGGATGAAATATGAAGGTGTATGTAACAAAAAGTTGCAATTTCATGACTGTCATGTACAGGTAAATTGGTGTCGTGCCTGTAGTCCATTCTATTTTAGAAGAGGAAGAAGAGATAAATGACTCTCCCTACCCAGTGGTATTGTCATTTGTAGATAGGCGTCATATTGAAGGAGAAATTGAGGTTCTTACGATTCCTGTTTTACTCCAAAAGTTTGTCAAACAGCTAGTGCAGAAAACAAAAATCTACATACACTTTTGACCTTATACTGATACTGGGTAGGTGCATATAGAAATCATGGCACAGCTCCAATTCTACCTCCAAACTAACTTAAATGTTTTTTTCTGTTGTATACCAGGACAGGAACAAGGATGAAGGAGCATCCCAGTCTACTGCCCAATCAGCCGTTCCTACGTATGTACTTCATGAAGAACCAGTCATCAGACAAAAAGAGGTAACACATCAGGCTCAGTACCAACAGGAGTACCAGCAGGAAGACCAACAGGAGTCCCAACAGCAGTACCGGCAAGGATACCTAGTCCAGCAGCAAGACTACCAAGAAGAGCACCAAGAAGAGCACCAAGAAGAGCACCGACAAGAGCACCAACAGGAGCACCAAAAGCAAGAATACAAGGAAGCACAGCCTGCTCATGACTATGACCAAAGTCCCGTGGAAAGTCACGCTATAGCCCTGTATGGCTTCCAAACAACTGAAGATGACGAAATCTCCTTTGACGTTGGTGACAGGATCACAAACATTGTGCAGGTAAACAAGGACTGGTGGCTTGGTGTGGGGCCTGACGGGACACGTGGCTTGTTTCCCTCCAACCACGTACTGCTGATGACATGACACCATGCTGATCTGATCACCTAAAACACACTCTAATCAAAGCCTGTTTTAAAAGCCTTCATGTGTTGATATGTGAATAACTGAGAATGAAGCTTACTTAAGTTTGCCGCTTATTTTTTTATTATGATATTACGATGATCATATTAGGATGATAAATGAAGACATGTTTTTTGAGTCACCAAGATACACCAAAAAAACAGTTACTCAAGCAACAGGATATGATTTTGGAAACTGTCAGATGTTTCAGGTAGCATCTACTAACCTTTGTCGGTGACACAAAGAGACTTCAGTGACACTAAGAGACAGTGCAAAAACAGACTGCAGTCTCTTAGTGTCACTGGCAAAAGGTAGTGCATGCTACCTGAAACGTCTAACCATTTCCAAAATCATATCCAGTTGCTTGAGTTAACTGTTTTTGGTGACTATATGACTTGCTATAATTGCTGAGTGATGCTTTATACAGTTATGGGACCCCGGAATGGAACGAAAAGAAACAAAATATGTATGAGAGAAAGCCGTTAAGCTGTTCATACGTTGGAACGGCGACGTTATTGTCTGCTCGACGTCGAAATGGCAACATTAAGATTGATGGTATTCTTAGAACTGGAACGTTATAAGATCGATCAGGGTATGTTAAGAATAAAGTGACATTTTGTTTCATTTCCTTCCATTTCATTCTATGCATGCGCGGATGTCATCCATACCCTATATGGTCAATCAAATCAACATAATGAATGGGCCGTTTCTTTGATATACTGGACACAAACAGATGAAATGACTGAATAATAAAAATGCTTACCAGTCCAAGCCAGGTAGTAGAATGTATGTCAGATTTCTTGTACAGTAAGTCATACAGCATATTGGCCAGCAAACTGACCGTCAAAGCCTCTCAGTACACATGTACAGATCTCATACAACATGGTGAAATGTTGGCCATTGAAACCTTTCATTTACATAGTATCCATCTTCTTAGGGCCACAGCAAATAATTTCTATGGATGACATCAGCGCGTGCATTAATTTTTGCCTAATTTTGGAAAAAAGGAAACAAGAAATTTTGTTGCCCTCTGACAGTGGTCAACATGCCAAAAACGGGCAAAGATGTCTGTTGCCATGGCGAAATGTGGATGGCAGATAAATATGGAGAGAGGAGACAAGAAAAGGCTCTGATTTAATGTTTTTTTTCTTACTTTGATGCAGTGATATATGATGCTGGCTGTATATATGTGATGTTCCCCACTAAATCAAAACCATTTGCACAATGATTGAGTCAAAATTTGAAAATGTAGGAACCTTATTTTTTCGGCCCGCCTTGTTTTTTTTCGCCCGCTTGCATTAGATTTGGAGTCTGCAGAGGATGTCATCCATAAAATTTACTTGCTGTGGCCTAATACGGTGCACAGTATATGCCTGCTCCAACAAAGATATGTATAAAAAATACCACCTGCCCATACATAATATAGGTAATAACCCCAAGCCTTCAGTTTAATTGGCAGTTTTAATATTTTGTTGGAAGGCTGCACGCATTCATATCATATTCAGATCTTGGAATATCTCAAATTTGTATCATGTCCTACATAACATTCAGTCAAAACCCTTACTAATATGTTACAACGTGTACAGAGCATTGTAATAATTTGTTGCACACCTACCACATTGAAGAATTATCCCAAAAGACAATGTCTTATATTAAGAGAGCTTTTAGGTCAATCATAATACTAGAAACTTCAGTCTTAATATTTTAACATTTTCTATTTTTTTTGTACATTTCAGTAGCATTTCCAAGATTTTTTCCATCCTTTTCTTTCTTTACTTTCAGCTTTTTTGTGTCATCAACACATTTGTTTTTTTTTTCAAAGCAATATTTTTTTCTTCATACATACATGTAACTGATTTTTGATTGCAGACAAATCCACATTTTGCTGGTATCCACTGAGTACCACAGTATTGTGAATAAAATCTTTTTGACATAAGAATATAGCTCTATTCTTGTCTAGGACACACTTTCTTATTCTGTCTCAAATTTGTAGTTGATGTAGATACGAATGGCACTACATTGTATGTTACATAGAACACCAAGCAGTACAATCTTCAGAATGTAATAATTATAATGCTGGTGTATCTGTATTAGGCCACACCAATTTAATTTGTTGGTTCTCGGATTCGCCTCTTCATTTTTTTCTGATTTGCAAAAAAAAAAAAAATCTGGTTCTGAATCAAATGAAACATGCTCATATTTTGCCCCCAACAGTTGAGGAAAGTGCTTTTCTTCCTAGCTGTTACAGTTTCTCCATCTATCAATGCAGTGGTCTGATTAAAAGTTCAAAATTCATTATTTAAATATTAACCCAGCCTTTTGTATTGACTTCATGGCTCCTATAATTGTAGCATTTGGAGCTATAATAGAATGCCTACACCTGTTTTTATTTTTTCATTTATTTTGCCCTGTCGCTTCATATTTTTGGTAAAAAATCTGACAACCAACAAATTAAATTGGTGTGGCCTTAGGAGGAAATGTTAGTCAGTAATGTACATGTACATGTAGGTAAATATTAATACCACAATGAGAAATTATTAAATAGTATTCATGATAGGACTTTAGACAGATACATTGTAGTTAGAACACCATTTACATGTAAATCTCTCTATTATGTTCTAATTTCTTTGCTACACAAGACTTTCTTCCTACTGTCACTCAAGAGCTGTAAATGGATAACACAGCTATAGTTTGTTTAAAGTTAAAACTTTTGATCCAACACAAAAAATTCTCTCACCTAGAGCTTTCAACCAGTCACTCTGGTCTTCCTCAGTAGACTGACCCAGTGAGACTTGTCACATGGCTTCTTTGAAGTGTGACGTGTGGTCTTATATGTGTTGGACCAAAAGTTTTAACTTTAAACATGTAACTACCAACACAGATGAACTTTCATGACAGTACAGCTATTGTTTGAGTGGCTACATGTACTTGCAACTTGAAGACCCAACAAATTCTTATGCAACATCTCTAGATCTATCCCTCGAATAATAAGCTCATCCCTTTCCTATAGCTTGCTTTCTTCCACTCCTTTGATTTAGCATTCTTTTTCTGTATGACCTTCTAATAGTGATCATCACCTTATTTTCAGATGGTGTCGGGTAATGCTTGGAACATTGAAAACAAAAATTGTACACAATGAAATTCGAGTGTGCTTTTAACATCTACTGCAAGCAGTGATAACAATTTGGTGCATGTACAATCTACTTGAACATAGGCCACCAAAACTAGAAACAAAGCATGTAATATTAACTTTGTTACAATATATAAGCAATGAAAACATGTTAATTTTCATGTTATCACCTCCTAACATTTCACTTATTTCTTACATAATGATTACATACATGTCAAATTCAATATTATGGATATCATTATACATGTATATAGTACCAACAAGCTCTCTGTCTAATTCATAGGCCAAAAAGGAAAACATAGACAAGTACATCAATTTAAATCCACAACTAAGTTAAAAAAAAAAGACACAAATTTGAAAGAAAAGGAACTTTCTCTCCTTACCAAGGTGAAATGGGAAAAAATACAATTCATTTGACAGTTTATCACTTTCACGATTATCATAATTTTCATTATTTGCTATGGAAAAAATACTTTGTACAGTTGGCAAGGAAAGAATCTACTTGACAACACAAAAGGACTTCGTGAAGACCCTCCTTGATAGGACAGCAGTTTGACCCTCGACTACAATCCGAATAATGTATTCTCAGACTCCTCCATTTGCATTTGCCTGCCTCTCCTGGGAGGGATGGCAGGTGCTGGTGCGCCGGTGGAGGTTGGGTTGATGGGGTGGGCTGGGACCTCGGGGAGGCTGTTCAGATCAGGCAGGGTGTCCGCTGCCTTCGCTCGCTCTTCCAAAAACCGGTCAAATTCTGTTCATCAGAAGATATCAGGTTCACGTCAATGAAGGTTAGACATCCAGGTAATACGATACGCCAAAAAGCAGTTACTCAAGCAACTGGATATGATTTTGGAAACAGTCAGACATTTCAGCTAGCAATAGTAGTAGCATCCACTACCTTTCGTCAGTGACTGTGAGACCAGAGGTCAGTGACTGTGAGACCAGCTATAGGTCTGGTCTCACTGGATACTAGCTGAAATGTCTGACCGTTTCCAAAATCATATCCAGTTGCTTGAGTAACTGTTTTTTGGAAATCAGGTTCAATTTTACTGATGAAAAATTTTACTGATCAAATTAAAAGATATCAATCCATGTTCAACATGAAGCTTTTTCAAGTGAACAAAAAAAAGATACCATAAAATCAATGACATGATTATAGACTTTCATGTTTTCTTCCATTTTTCAAAAAATGTTATCTTTATGTCTAGTATAAACATAACTTGATTGTGTTACAATGAATTTGATGTTTTACAATGTGTGTCCAAGATGTCACTTGTATTTGTCTTGAGTTTTATTTTGATCAGCACATGATTCAGTTATTAGCTGCCATGTACAACTTATCAATACCAGTAAACCAAAGTGATTATAATTTAATTCATTCAAGGGACTGTCACAGCTCTGATGATCAGGTTGTTTCTGTCGCACAACACCCACCTGCACTGGTGACAGGTTCCACATCTTCCTCCTGTGGCTGGGCTGCACCAGGGGATTGCTGTGGGAACACAACATCAATTTGATATCCTCAATAATATATCAATATAATACTTTTTTGGTTAACTATTTTTTTTCTTTTCAGAATTTACAAGCTACATAATACTAATAGGAATATGAATTGAAGAAAGTTACAAGTTATCCCCAATTGCAACATAACTTGCTGTACACATGTATGTGGGCAAAGCGATGATTCAGTTTTACCTAATTATTTTTAGCTTAAGATAATTTAGATGTTTAAACGACTTTGAAAATCCAATACGTACTGATTGTTGATTTGAGATACATGTACAGAAGATCAATTAAGGTGTGATTGGTATCATTGATACCTTAAATTTGTTTCAATTATCTTGTAATTAATGCAAAGGTTGCAGGGAAATGCACTACATGTACATTGCAAAGCATGATTGAAATTAAAGATACACATTTTCAGTTATGACTTTTAATCTTCTTGGTGGGAATTAAACATCAGTTTACAAAGCTGGTAATTTGAACCCAGCACCAATTACTTCAGAATCTGTGAGATGGATTGAATGAATGAATGATTGATTGAATGAACGAAGGTGCAAGGGATGTTACCAAGCCGTGGCGAACGAGAGATTGCGGCAAAGCCCTGCTAGCAGCCTGTTCACCGGTCTGTAGGGGCTGGTATGAACCCAAAGGGGCATGCATGTATTGTATCAACTTTTTTCGAAAAAAAAAGAAAACTTACAACATTCATATGTTACTAAAATATCTGGACCATAATACACAATCACTGTTGTGTTTCACATCTAACTGAAATCATACAAAAACTGAACAAATCATAAGAATGCAGTGTTAAGTACCGGTAATGTCATCACAACACAGAATACTAGATGCTATGGGCTATCAGCATGCAGCTTTTTGAGAGCAGAAAAGAAAGGACGAACACATTTGTCTACAGCAAGAAATTTGTCTAATATTAAGTAAGTCAAACATTGTAGTTGCCATGTTTGCATCACTAGTAACTATTCAACATATGGGCCACTGACTTTCAAGCTATTTTTGAAATACATTACACACCAAGCTTAAGAATTACTGTATTTTCTACTTCAAAATAGCATTTGGCAAATGAGACTGCTTGACATTGTGGAATTACCTATTTGGTAAATGTATTGTACAATGTTAATGTAAATTTGATCCCTGTGTACTCTTGTGTTGGAATAAAGTTCATCTATGATTGTACTACGATTACTACCAAAACAGATGAACTTCCGTACTATGATAATTTGGAAATCAATATGCCAACCCAATATGCCAGTCATTTTGTAGTAAGGTAGCAAATTTTGAGAGATACTTTAGCACAGTCAATTTTATCTCAGAGCTCCAAATGATGCAAACACTTGTTTAAAGTTAAAACATTTGGTCCAACACAAAAAATTCTCTCACCTAGAGCTTTCGACCAGTCACTCTGGTCTTCCTCAGTAGACTGACCCAGTGAGGCTTGTCACGTGGCTTCTTTGAAGTGTGACGTCAACACTGGGTCAAAGGTATCTGGTAGACGATGTCGGCCCCCATCGCGGTTCAATGATGTTTGACCCAGTGTTGACGTCACACTTAAAAGAAGCCACGTGACAAGCTTCACTGGGTCAGTCTACTGAGGAAGATCAGAGTGACTGGTCAAAAGCTCTAGGTGAGAGAACTTCTTTGTGTTGGACCAAAAGTTTTAACTTAAACATGTAACTACCAAGTTGAACACAGATGAACTTTCATGTATATATGATGCAAACACGTAGTAACTACACATGCCAGCATGTGCACATGCTTCTTCTACTTACCGGCAGGTCACTCTGCTCAAGCCATTTTTCTACCTCATCTAGGGGCTGTGCATGCTGAAAGGGACCAGACAGGGTCACACACATGCAGAGACAAGTCAAGTTTAAGACGCTGCTACAAGTGCCACACTACAGGACAGATACTTGTCACTTAGCCCTTTAAGACACAGAATGATTTTATTGTTGTTTCTCATGATGTAACAGTAGCAGTTAGTAGGGTTCAAGCACCACTAACTGACCATCCAATAGGTCCTGATCCTCTTGGCCAAGTGGTTAGGGCGTTGGCTTTGTGAGCTGGTGGCCCAGGCTGCAAGCTTGCAGCCACAACGCCATAACCACTTGGTTAAAAGGTCCAGGACCCTTCAGATGAGAGAGTAACTGTTGGTAGCACTTGAAAAGTACCTCAGGACTCAAAATACTGGGTGCATGTGCACCTTAATGCACCCATTTTTTTCTGTGGGTGCACTGGTGCAGCCAAAAATTTCTGTAAAAAAAATTTCTGTACAAATGTACATGTAGGTTTACATTTTTATCTAAAGAAATTAAACGTATAGTAGACTGTAGTATACATCATATTCTTAACATCATATTCTTAACATCCAAGTTTCAGAAAAATAATAAAATCATTGTACAGTTATAGTACTTTTCTTTGGAAATGAAACATTATAACTAGTTTGCTGACATTCTACTAATATTTTATCATATATGGTGCACCCCCAAAAAATTTTTGTGCACCCAATTTTTTAGGTTGGGTGCACCAGTACACCTGTTCCCAAAAAATGAATTTCGAGCCCTGTTTTAAACTGTGTTACACTTTCTACAAGTGACACATGGCCAGACTCTCAGATATCAAGGTCCCTGCTGTGACAAGTGTCTGTCCCTCTGTGCTTTGCCCTACTGTACTATAGAGAGCACGTCGGCAGAACGTACTGCGCCTGCGCAGAACCCTTTATTTTCACGGTTTTCGGTGGATTTTTGGTCAACGTTGCATCAAAATTTTGCCTGTTGCAGAAGATATCTTTTCCGGCACAACATTTGGAAACTACAGACGGAGTGTTAACCTTATATGCGCGAATACAACCTTATATGAGACGTTCTGCCGAAGTGCTATGTACAATACATTACGGGTTTCACGCAGGTGCAGTACGTACTGCCGACGTGCTACTATAGAGCTCCGTGCATGTATGTGCAGTCTACTACTGCACAGTCAGCGGCACACCACTCAGACATGGCTTACCAAGTCACTGTCTGCTAACCACCTTTCTACCTCGTCATAACCTGTCAAAGCATCCTTGGCTCGCTGCAACAGTACAAGTCACGAGACTCGTTATGTCATAATTATATTAACATTGAGCAACCACCCTGGCCATATGCCTCAGTCTATTAGGCCACAGCAAGTAAATTTTATGGATGACATCCTCCGTAGACTCCAAATCTAATGCGATAGGGCGAAAAAAACAAGGCGGGCCAAAAAAAAACAAGACTCCCACATTTTCAAATTTTGACATTATAAACAAGAAATGATACCAACAGTTACATCGTGCTAAGTTTACTGCCAACTATTACAACATCCATTTGTCACTGAAGAATAAAAGTTTTCAATCACTGTACAAAATTTATGGTTTTTCACTGCATCAAAGTGAAAGACAAAAGAATAAATCAGAGCCTTTTCTTGTGTCCTCTCTTCATATTTATCTGCCATCCACCTTCCGGCATGGCAACAGACATCTTTGCCCATTTTTGGCATGTTTACCACAGTCAGAGGGCAGCAAAATTTGTTTTTTCTTCTTCAAAATCTGGCAAAAATCAATGTGCATGCTAATGTCATCCATAAAAATTATTGCTGTGGCTTTATGCCTATTCAACAGTCTGTCAAGCAATTGACTTGACTTGCAGAGCAGGCTGCTTGAAATCCAGCTGTCCCAGCCCATTTTAACATGCTATTATAATTTTGCAGTTTCATGCTGCCATCAGCTAGACCCAGTTGAAAATTTCGGATTTAGGATTCCCCAATCATTTCATGACACCGCCAAGCTTGGTACATAAAGCACTGTGATACAAACCTCATCATATGGTTCATCCTTTGTGTGGTTCAGGTAGCGGACAAGACAGAATATAATTTATTATGGTTTACAACTGTAGCTGTAGTCACAAAATATTTAATGTTAGCAAGACCTTAGAATTCTAAGTCATTAGGTTAGTCACCATCTCCAGTGAAAAAAAGGAAGTAAAATGTCTACAATGATGCGTTTATTGCTTTTTCTTGTAGAAACAACTGAGTGTTTAGAGGATAGGTTTAACTGCAAAGATTAAGAGGGTATGTAAAACCTACATTATGTACTTCTAGGTATACATCAAATTTTAATACCAAGCTCAGCCTGGTAACATTAACTGTTATATTATAATACATATTCTTGTATAGGACTGTTATGATATAGTCAAAACTGTAGGGCTCTTAACAATTAGGATTTTGTCATGCTTGGACACAGAACCAGATTAAGAAGAAAATGTTAGCCTCCATAGCATGCCAATAACTGGGGGTTAACGTTTTGGGGGGTCTTCATGGTCTTTGGGAGCTTTTATGTGCTATTTTCTGATTGCATATAGAAAACATAGCCGGCCTGATTGAATTAACCCCGTTTAGAACTGTGCTAATCAGAAAACAGCCGAAGACCACCAAACCCCCAGTTCTATAAGCCTGCTATGGAGGCTAAGAAAATGTATGGTCTGTGCGGATAACCCATTGAGAATTCCATTCTAATATCTAGTATATAATGGTGAAAGAAAGTGCAGAACTTACAGGTTGGTTGGGGTTAGATTTGGTGTTGACAGCTCGAGCTAGGCCTCCGCTCATGAGATCACCGGAATGAGAAATGTCTTCATATGTGCTACCACTGTAGGGAGACAATAATTATTGTAGGGTATAGGATTTTCTTCTAACACAACCAGTAAGGTTCTCACCTGCTTACGTTTCGATGTCTATCAGACACCTTCCTCAGAGCTTCTGACTGGAGTTCTGCAACTCGCCGCTATTTAACGCCAAAGTAGGTGGCGCTTTTGCGGCGAGAATGCAATCCCAAACGTGGCTGAGCTTGTATCCCCCCTCGTCCCGGTTCATCACTGGTGTAGACTTCCTTATCCAGACTGCTTCTTTAATCCAACGGATTCTTCTGTTGTCCTCCCTATCTATGACCCTGGCACCCTCCCAGTCTATCACACAATTGTTTCTGGCAACATGGTCTGTGACTGCCAATTTCTTCTCTTCTTTTTGTGCTTGTTGTTTCTGGGAGCGTGTATATCTTACGGTTTCGCTGTTGTCTGCCTCTTTTCTGTGTTCTTCCAGTCTTTTGCCAAAGGTCCTGCCAGTTTCTCCAATATACACTTGATCACAGCTTTTGCATGGTATTTTATATACGCAGTCTGTTTTCACGTGGTCCCCCATCTTGTCCTTGGGGTGGACAAGCAGGTTCCTCAATGTTGTTTTTGGTTTCACTGCTGTGGATACCTGGTGTTTCCTGAATACCCTTTCTAGTGGTTCGGTTACTCCTTTCACATATGGGATAATCACCATGGCCCTAGTTTTCT